CCCTATCGATCTCCGTTTTCCACTCCTAATTCACCACGTTATCATATGGGTCACAACCTTTGACCAATTAAACAAGATAAAACAATTTAAGGGCCTCAAACCCTACGGACTCAAACCGATTTTAAAACATTAATCGGGCCTCAAACCCGCCTCTTTTTTGTCTTTTTTATTTTAAGCCATATGTGGGCCTCAAACCCGCCTCTTTTTTGTCTTTTTTATTTTATTTTAAGCCATATGTGGGCCTCAAACCCGGCTCTTAAACTAATTCGGCCTCAAACCGATTTTATTACTAAATGGGCCTCAAACCCGTACACTCATACATTACTGGCCATTTGTTACTTCTTATTTGCCGTAAAATGACGACATAATATCATTTAACTAATTCCAAAAGAGTTATAAGCGCCTGTTCATTTTGCTTCGGCTTAACTGTAACGACTATGGACCGGAGAACCAAAGCTCTACCACAACGTACGCTAGCAGCTCTGTCACCTAATAATCCTAAAGAGTGAACGGGACATTCAAGAAACTGACATTTCCGAGAAACAGAGTGCAGAGCCAAAGGATGGACCACCAACCAGGGTGGAGAAAGGTGACCAGGTGTACCCGAGAGTGTGCAGGGGACAGTGGAACGCCCCGACTTGATCAGGCTGTGGTACCTGATTTCCTGGAGTTCGGCACCTGTGTCTAGGAGGACATGGCACCTGTTTTACTTGAATGTTGAATTATTAAATACACAGTATGCTTCACGGTTGTCAATACAATGCATTATAAGTTCGGAATGTGTTATGCTGTAGTCCCATGATTGCTTTAATAATGAAACGGATGAATTTTTTGATGCCGCTAAAATGTTCTGACTACTGGTGAGTGGATCCGTGGGGAAGGCACACATGGGTACGTGTTGGCGTGTGGGCCTTGCCTATGGATCACAAGATGAACATTGAATTCATGAACTGTCCGACTTGAGGTTGGCTACAGATACGGGGGATAACACTGTGATGATCTTTGAGTAACCTGCGTGCATGGAGACCATCTGAGCAATTGCATGCTAGTCTGCAGGGCGTTTTTTTTAGATCTATATAGGGTTACTGCTAACTAACACGCTAATGTCTCTTCTGTGTTAGCCAGAGCCGCTAACTAACACGATAATGTCTGTTCTTATACCTGGAGGTATTCGATTTTGGTTATACATGCATATAAGTATTTGAAGGGATTTCATATGGGAAATTACAATGCATTAACTACTATGCCTTTCTGTCCTCAGGATACTGTGATGATGGTATGACATTGATTGTATGATGTGATGATAATTTGTCTACTGTTGGCTACGGCCCATGTATTCTTTGAGACACACCAAGGTGAATGCCATCCAATTTAGAGATGCGACAGGTTTTCCACCTATCCAGAAGGGGTTTTCCCGAACTAAGTCGATTGGTGATGTTGATGTTTTTCTTTTCGCTTGAATTTATACTCACCATTTTTAGACCTTACATGATACATAGCATTATTAATTTATAGTATGGTCATCAGTGATGACCAAGGAGGGACTGTTGCGAATTAATAACATATGTATCGTCAGGCTGTAAAATATCTGCACATAGCCAGGAGTAGAAATAAATATACAAGTTGTAGTAACTGCACCTCAACACATGATGGCGGCAAACAATATACTGGGGGCGGCGCTTAACGCTAGCCATTGTGCGTCATGGAGGCCACGCCTCCTGCCCAGAGGCATCCGGCGGAAACATCCGGTTAGGATCAGAAGTCTCAGGCGGCCCATCCGCGAGGATGCAAAGCTGGGGGCTCTCCACGCGGCGTGGAGAGCCCCTCCATTGTTACGTAGGTTAGATATAACTTAAACCTAAACAAATAAAGTGAGTTATAAGCGTTCCTGTTGTCGGCAGCCTTCTTCCCCGGGACACAAACCCCACATGTCCATTACCCAGAACTCATTCTTCGGTTTGGTCCCCTCATTAGGTTGTGGACGTTGCGCTTCGAAAGTAAGCACTCTTATTTTAAGCAATGTGCAAGGAAACTGCATAACTTTAAAAACCTCTGCAGTACCTTAGCAGAACGACACCAGTTGCTACAAGCATATTTACATGCTGGTAGCTTATTTCCACCAATTCTGCAAATGGGCCAACCAAGTAAATTTGATGACCAACTGTACCAGATTGGCATTCAGAGAGCTGTCAGTCTCAAGGGTCTCCGCCCAGAGCACACTATTGAAACACCCTCTGTCACTTTCAAAGGCACTCTGTACAAAAGAGGCATGACTGTTGTAGTGGACCAAAATGATACAGGGTATCTATTTGGGAAAATACTGTTGATACTGATAAATGAGTCAAAAGTGCATTTTGTTGTTCAGCAGTATCAGTCTGTGCCTGTTGTGGATCTTGGTGTGTATTGCTTACGAAGCAACTCAGAAGCACAGTACAAGTGTTTGACTGTAGACGAGCTTGCAGATTATTACCCTCTTTCTGTATATAATCAATTTGGTCTTAACCTTGTTGCTCTGCATCATTCTGTTTTTCAGAAGAATGAGTAATGGACTCCATTGAGAAGGCAATACAGACTGTGCTCCCACAGCTAGATGGAGAGAAACTTGAATGTTTGGTCAATGAGTTGGTGACCAAATTAGGTGTTGAAGGACCAGATGATCTGGAGTTCATTCAAGAAGATGACATCAAACATCTGCTCACACCCATTCAGTGCAGAAAGATTGTTCGTTCCTTGAAAGGAGGTGAGATTACAGTTGCTTTAATTTATTTGTTGAGCTGCAACAATTAATCAATAACTACATTAATAAGCAATCATTTGATCATTGTTTTGTAAAAAACAAGTCCAGATTATCTGATTTCAGTTTATTAGATGGGAGGTTTTTCATCAGATTTATGACAAAGCATATTAAACTGTTTTCCTGCAATTGTTTGCTTTTTGCTCATTAATTTGTGACTTTAATGTCACAGAATTTAAGTCTTTTTCAGATAATGATTGACAGATTAATCAATATTCAAACTGCTTGCAGACCTATATTTCATGGGGTTATATAGAAAGTCTGTCATGACATTATTTTGTGGTATCAAACTGGTCACAACCTTTTGTGTGCTTTCTCTCATATGTGTGTAATGCAGGTCCTGCCAATCCCCAGCTGAGCCCGTCATCGCCCGAGCCACTGCCAGTTAACTCTTGCAGCACATGCCCCATATCGCCCACCAGTCCCGTCTCTGCATGGGTGGACAGTTTTGAGGTGCCATGGAACAAAGTGAGGCCAACTCTTAGAAGAGCAGTAGTTGCTGGTGAGAGGCCATCTCCAGAGGATCGCCGACACTTACTGAGAGTCACTGTTGATGCGATGAGAGAGCATTCCTTGAACCCTACTCGCAGAGAGTGCGTGGTAGTGGCAAAAGCTATAACTCAAAAATATCCAAATTGCTTTTTAGACAAAACTGAAGAGGGGGAGCTAATTGGATGTGGGTATTTCAGTGTTATAAATCAGCTCAAGACCAGAGTAGAATATTTGAATCGTGGCAACACACTTTCCCGTCTGAGGAAGCCCAAACGCACCGAGAGAGATGAGAATGGTGATGATGACCAGCCAGCAGTAGCTACATGTGTAAGAGTCGACAGTTATGGTTGTGTTCGTTGGCAGCCAGAGGACTATCCAGATGGGGAAACATCAGCTTCATTAGAGGAAAAGAAGCTTGAGATGTTGGATATATTCAGCCGAGAGGGACTCAAGGGCGCTGAGAGAGGAAGGGTAGAAGACCTAATGGCAATCACTTATGCCAAACAGCGGGATTACATCAACGCAAACCCTTCTCCAAGCATTCTGGATGTGGGTAAAGAGTGGCCATTTCTCTTTTCAGAGAAGTTTTTGTTGTCACACTTCACCACTCTCACCAATGTTGAACTATACAGAAGACTGAACGAAGACTTGGACAAAAAGGGTAAAAGACTCCTGGTTTTCTTCAGTAGTCAGATTACCAGGTGGAGGAAGTAAGTAAGAGCTGTTCTGAAGGAAGCCCTAAAGGAGGGCCGAGAAGGAACTGATGGCCTAGCAGCGATGCTTGTGATGTTGGCATACTTCAAAGAGCAAGAGGATTCACTTTTTCTCCTTGCTGATGTAAGCTCCTCCTCTGTTTTCAACAATTAATTGTCACATGTATTGCTACCAGAATCATTTTCCCTGACTAGAGTGAAACATTTTACACCCCCCAAATTGTATTGCAGGTTTGTGAGCCTCCAATGGCATCTTATGGGTTCAAGTAAATCCAGGTTTGCATCTGGCGATCCTGTCTTTCTAGGAGTTTGTAGTTAATGTTAATAGTTTGACACAATAGGTTTCAGGCCAGGTATGAGGGCACCTTTATTTTATTGGTGATTGAGCACTTTTTCATTGATAGACCTCATCTCGCACTATGACCCACATGGCGCAAGCTTCTATCTCAATTCTTTTGTAGAGCATGCTGGGTTTAGTCATTGTTGTCCACTGTGTGCACAATATTTTAATTATTAAGAGAAAATTGATAAAGCCTGGCATAAGGTTAGTGTGGCACTTTGTTCATATTTATATTTCCAAGGGGTGTAAACATGCATAAACCATCAGAGCAACAAAATATTGCATATTGCGTTCTTATCAACAAATTTCAAAAAGCTTCTTTTTTTTTTCTTCCTAGAGATAATATACCGTTTGTTTAAAATAACTTATCTTTACTGGCATTCATAGGTGACTACCACTCCTGCGGATGCAGAGGCCCAGCTGTCTCTCCCCGTCACTCCAAGGATCATCATGCTTGGTAAGTTTCTCATTCAATGCTAACAAATCCTTTGAATATAGAGGGCATAAGCAAAGAAAGTCTAGTCTGGAAACACTAGTGAATGCAGCTCGTGTCGTGTCATCCACTGCCTCTGCACCGCCAGGATTTCCAGCTTGCACCTTGTACCACATAATTAACATTGTATTTTAAATTGTGTGAGTATAGAAAAATTAAGTTATGGGCGCACGGATAGCTCAGTGGGTAGAGCTGGCGACCCATGTACTGAGGCTGAGTCCTTGCTGCAGTGGCCCGGGTTCAAATCCGACCTGCGGCCCTTTGCTGCATGTCAACCCCTCTCTCTCTGCAATAAAAAAAAATTATTAGAAAAAAAAAGGAAGTTATGTGGAGTACAAAAACTCTAGTTCATGCATTTTACTTCATACCTTAATCCTTCATGTGTTCATTGATTCACTTAAAGGTGCGCTATGCAACTCGGTTATTCCTCCGCTGTTTCTGGGTTTTCGCCGGAATTGGGCTCGCATTTCTCACTATAGAGCTCCCCCTGCAGCTTCGGAATAGGCCTACAACACTGTCGTAAAAACTCATTGACAACGCCCCCCACCCCCCACTTCGATAAATAAATAGTAATACACAACGAGAACCTGGATTCGGACCGCAAACAAACATGTGTGGTAGCAAGTCACTGCTAGGATAAACCCTCACTAGCTAGCAAGCTAGCCATGAAGCAACCAAGCTAAACACATACAGGGCTCACAATAAAACGGTCGAGCAAAACACATTGTTCAACAGACTCTCAAACCACATTACAAAAACGAAGTTCACCCAAGGGTAGGCTACTTACAATTTCAGCAGCAAGACAGCCAAGTCGGCGTCCGTTTTGCATTCTTCCGAGTCTCTCAGTTGACGCCATTCCGCATAAGCTCGCCCTATGTTCACTCGTGTCTGGTTTCTTTGTTTATCATAATCCTTTCTCTTATTCTTCGATTCCTCCGACCTTCCCCTCTTGGGTCTTGGTGGATCCATAGTGGATTTGTCGATTGATCCAGAATTGCCTTGCAACTGACTCTTTATATTCAGCCAGACCCATGTTTGGCACCCCCGCCCAGGTCTACCGTAAAGCAGTGAAACTACAATCTGACTACATTTTCGAGGCGCGATTGGATACTTCCGCTGAGTCACATCCGTAAGTGGCCGGGACGGCCACATGAAGTTGCATGTTCTGTTTTTCCGTGGGGAACCAACAGGGGGAGATGAAACACCCACCAAACAACCCAGAAAGTGTTGTAGAACGATCAGAACGACTCTCAACCTGCATGGTTAAGGTTATTTTTGATAAACGAGTTGCATAGTGCTTCTTTAAGTTTATTCATGTTCTGTGTTTGTAAAAACCTTTTTCTGTAAATAGTTAGTTTATCTGAATTCAGAAGCTTTTCTGTAAATAGTTTTCTGTATTGCTATGAAATATAATTTTTGTAATGTCTCTCTTTACTAAGGAGAGACAATCCTGACAGCAAAAAAATGGATGCTGTCGATCGAGGGGAGGGTCGTAATCCCACCTGCTGCTCACCTGGTTAACTTTACCACTGCCTTGGCCGCTCTCTTCGCCTGTTTCTACGTTTTTAACCTAGAGTATCAGGTGGAAGCCAGCACAACACTGGAGTTTGTTCAGAGGTATTAATTATCTTACATTTTTGATTGTAAAGATTGAAATGTAAAAGCAAATTGACAATTGAAAAGCTGTTCAAAATCATCTTCTTTTTAAAATGTTATTTGTCTTGAGTATGTAAATAGTGTAGGTTGAAGCCTCCTTATAACTTGAATGCTTTATTGGAAAACAGAAGGGTGTTTGGTTAAGTGCATATACACACTATTCCTTTTTACATAAAAACCTTATATAAAATGGGGATGGCTGAGGAATATGATTTGGCCTGAAAAAAAAAACTATTCAGACAATAGATGTTTGTTTTCTTGTTTAATGTGTTCTTAATTTGCATCACTTGCATGATGACCTCTGAGGGTGGATTTTAACTATTTTGGTACAAATATGATGTTAGACACACTATTTACAGAAGATTGATTGGTTACTAGCAGATCACATAATCCAAATTGGGTGCAGCCCTATAGCTTGATTTCTCACTAATCAAATTATTCCACTACAAAATGTTACTCATCTACTAAATTCTTCCCAAGTTTAGGAAACCTTTTTGAGAAGTCAAATGGTCTGTTTAGAAAATCACTTATCTATTAATTAGTGGTGGGCCGTTATCGGCGTTAACGCGCTGCAATAACGCGAGACTCTTATCGCACGATAAAAAAATTATCACCGTTAATCTATTGTCAAAGTTGGGTTGGGAGCTGGGTCTATACCGGATTTCCACCAAGGAAGGTAAGCGCCGCGGAACGGCTGCGTCCAATGCCCGGCGACCCCCCCCCGTCGGTCGTAGGTCTGGGCAGTGGCGCCTTAATGCACGGGCATAGGGCCCAGGGCCTTGGCCAATCAGGGGCCTCTTAAAAAATATATATTTTTAAAAAAGATGATAAACGGACGTATTCGCGGTGTCATTACTGCCCCCCCCCCCCCCCCCCCCTTGACATTGGAGCTGTGCAAAATTGTTAGATTATCTTGAGCGAGGCTGGTGAAGAAGGCACGTTATATTAACTAGTATTAATGTTACATTATGCCCCATACATGCATTACTTGTTACTCCAAGTGTTGACACAAGTGCAGTTATGTTACAAGTGTTTTTCAGACAGTATTATCACCTAAACAGTAAAAAGCTAATTAATAATAAGTTAATGCATGTCCAAGATGCTGTATTTTCTTTATTTTTATGTATTTAATTTAAAAAAAGTCTTGTTTTTCTCTGCAAACCGTTATGATTTGCTAACCGGTTACTCGTTAACATGTACATATTGTCCCACCCTTAACTCCTATACTCATTTTCATAGGTTTTTAGTCAGGATTAACCCTGACTCCACAAAGTGCAGTGCCAAGGAGCAGATGAGCCAGAAGACTGGGAGAGTGGTGAAGCGGAAGACTTCCTACATGAACCCCCATGTAATCTCCTTTGTCAGGGACTTCATTGAGTTTGATTGGCAAACTGACTAGATGCAGGTGAGGTTCAGATAGCTTTTAGGGATCTACAAGCAGTTTCAGGTCACCTTGAGGATAGCTGCATTGAAAGTTCAAGATGGTTTATTCAAAGATGTTCTCTTTAACATTTTATTAAATAATGTGTGATAAGCTACTGTTGTGACAGTGATTGAATGGTGATTGAGACTGTTTTTTCCTGCTGAAGTCGACTCAAGAGCCTTCATCAGTGGACCATAAACATGCTGTAATTCATGGTCAATCAAACATGTTAAAAACAGTCTTTAAGCATTTTAACACATTGCTAAACTCAATTGCATCTTGAATCAAAATGTAGGCTACCTTAAACTGAATGCAGCGTTTTGGGATATTTGACACACTTTCTATCAGGAATAAGTACCTTGACACGACATCACCATCTTAGACCCTCATCACATATGTGGTGCATTACAAAGTGATTGTAATAAATGTAATTTGTTTTCTTTAATTTCAGGGCTCCAACTGGGATCTGGGTCTCAAAGTTCAGGGCAAGCAAGAGGCCATAGACTTTCATTTCAAGTGTTTTTGTTACCTGTGCTTTATCAGGTTCCTGTTGTTGTTCCAAATGTGTTAAATACATAATTGCGTTAACAATTTTCTTGTTTTCTGTAGTTCATTTAAATATTTTAGAATATGGGTCATTCTATAAATGTTGGATAATATTACATCAAAGTGATACAGTATTTAAATTGTACAGTGAGAAACTGAATTTACAACGAACTGTTACCTGTTAATACTGTTACTGTTAATAGTATTGGATTGCCATGTACAATTTTTTTTTTTTAAAGTGCTTAACTTATTTGTACAGTAAATTAACCAGCACTGTAAAAACAACTGAAATCACAGTATTTAATTGGTATTTACTTTACAGTTAAACACTCAATACTGTAAAAACTGAAATCACAGTATTTAATTTACAGTTAAACACTCAATACTGTAAAAACTGAAATCACAGTATTTAATTGGTATTTGCTTTACAGTTAAACACTGTAAAAGCTGAAATCACAGTATTTAATTGGTATTTACTTTACAGTTAAACACTGTAAAAACTGAAATCACAGTATTTAATTGGTATTTACTTTACAGTAAATACACCAATACTGTAAATGGAAGTACAGTATGTCTACTGTAAAACATATTTACAGTAACTTGCTTGTAAATTGTTGCCAGTAAGTCACTGTAAATTTTACGGTAATTTTGTTACAGTGTAGGTTCTAGCAGGGGCAACTACATAGACATGTGCAACTGAAATGTCTTGAAATTTCAAGTGGCTGTGGGCGGTTTCTTGTCAAATTAACCTTTGAGACAGCTCATGGCAATTTTCATGCTTGTATCACCAACTAAATTATTTCTTAAGCCAAACTGCTCCACTACGGTGGTGGCCATCTTGAAAAATGGCCGCCATCTTGACATTTCAAGTAGCCTGTGGGTTACTTATTGTCAAGTGACCCACAGAGACTGTTTATGTCAATTTTTATGCTCGTATCACCAAATAAACCATTGTATCACTGAATTGCTCCAGTAAGGTGTCGGCCATCTTGAAAAATGCCCGCCATCTTGAAATTCTTGACAATTTTCTTGTCAAGCGACCCATGGAGACTGCTCATGCCAATTTTCACGCTTGTATCATAAACTGAACGATTCTGCCAAAAATAAGCACTTAGCCGCTCCACTAAAATAATAAAGAAAGAAAGAAAGAAAGAAAAACATAAATACATAACTCAATAAATGACTCAATAAATAAATAAATAAAATTAATAAATACATAAATAAATGTAGAAATAAAAGCCTCAATGATCAAATAAATGTGCAGGTTAATTTCAGGTTTTTTTTTTCTCTCTCTCTCTCTCTCTCTCTCTCTCTCTCTCTCTCTCTCTCTCTCTCTCTCTCTCAGGGTCAGCTGAGGGCTGGGGTCACCCATATTGACCAGAGGTTTCACTGAACTGTTTTTCAATGGACTGAATGCATTAAGTGCTTCTGGTCTGTATGGGACTGTGGAATATAAAGCCATAATCAGACAGACTGTATAATAGTAATAATAATAATAATAATAATAATAATATACAAATAAAACATACACACACATATGTTTGTGGGTGTGGGTGTATGTGTGTGTGTAATTGTTAACCTATGATTGAAGACAAGATCAGGAAATAAAAAACACGAGGGATTTGACTAGAACTCAAGACAGCT